TATATATATATATATATATATATATATAGAGAGAGAGAGAGTTATAAATGCAAGAATATATAGTAATAATGAATAAGTATAAAACAAGTAAACAATAATTATCATTAATAAGTACGCGTGTAATTCTTTAGTAAAATTAGAATTTCACTTTGCTCCAAAAATATATCTGAAAGGATCCCCAGCATTCCATCTCGCCATTAATAATAATAAACCTCGCACATATAACCGTGCACGACATCGCTGCAACAGGAAAGCAACGTGGTCACTATCGTTTAAATTTAAATGCCGTACACACACGTAGCGCACACCGACTGCACTGTTCATTGGACGGATCTAAGGGAAAGCGAGCGATTCCCGCGTGTATTACACGCCGATATGGCTCGCGGTTTCGTATTTGATATAGAACACAGTTTTCTCGTGATTACACGCTATTGCTGGTCTTTGCGAGGAACGCAGACAGATTATGCCCTTTAGCGCGACGCAGGGAAGATGAACATGTTGAAAAAGTCGGCCATCAAAAAGGAATTTATAAACATCGGAGTGGACGACGACAAGGACAAGGCGAGGGCTTGGAGCAAGGCTACTTGGTGCGTCCGAGCGACAAGCAGTTCTTGCTGCTCTTCACATTCCTAAAGAACAGGAAGAAGAAGGTCATGGTGTTCTTCAGTTCCTGCACGTTCGTCAAGTACCATCACGAACTTCTCAACTACATCGAACTGCCAGTGATGAGTATACACGTGAGTTCTTGGACTTTTCTTCGCCATACCGCACTCACTTTGAGTCACCGTGTCCTCGTGGAGAGATTGAATATATGCGTCTTGGCAACAGGGTAGGCAGAAGCGAGTGAAGAGGACCAATATCTTCTTTCAATTCTGCAGAGTGGAGTCCGGGATCCTGCTTTGTACCGACGTGGCCGCCAGAAGCTTAAACATATCCTACGTCGACTGGATCGTGCAATATGATCCTAAAATAAGGATATTATACACAGAAAATACATTTTATATACAAGTAAATATTAGTTGTTTCAAATATTTCATAAGTTTATATATCACAAGTTCATACATCGTATCAAATTTATCAAAAATATATTCTGAATTCTCATGAGATTGGTGCTCCAATCAAGAATATTAAATTAAAGCAAAAATCGCAGATTGTTCATTTGAATTGACCAAATCTAATTTTCCTTCGATAGAATTTTACATTCTCGAAGAGAGAATAAATCCTTCTCTTCAGTTTTTCTGAGATTTATGATGAGCACCTATTAAGACTATTATCGAGAAAATATTCTTTGTTGAAGATAACCATCACTTGAAAGAAGAAAAGTAAACTGAGTAATTGCTTTTTTTAGCAGTAGAATGATGTTTTTCTGTCCGTACGTTTATTTATTTATTCGTTCTGCTCGACGCTAAGAAGAGATAAATAATCGAACGATAGATATGAATTTGCGATCGGTGAATACGAATTTATAGCGTGTCAAATTGCGATTTTCAGGAATACATTCATCGTGTGGGAAGAACGGCTCGTGCGGGAAGGAAGAACTCGGGATGATCTATTATTTGAAGCTCGTGTTGCCGTTACGCGAATGTGAGGTCAGTAACAACAAGATTCCTGACATAGAGTTGCAGGTATGCGCGATACATATATATTTTTGTACATATATATTTTGTACATATATATTTTGTATATATTGCAATTCTCTTGCTCCTGTCTTTCGTTTTTTCTTATCTCTTCTTTGAACAATACTAAACTGGAAGAACACGCGCGGAAGCGCCTACGCGCGTGATTCATGCCGCCGTTCGTTTTAGTAGAGAGCAAGATCGAAAAACTAGTCTGCGATTCTCTACCGGTTTAATTAACATTCACCTGCATACATTTATTCACCCGGAACTGATAGAAGACGTCGTTGCTTTATTTTTAGCTCGAAAAACTGATCTCGAGGAATTACTACTTGCACGCGTCGATAAAGGAAGCGTTCGAGGCGTATGTCAGAGTGTACGATTCCCATCATCCGAAGATATTCGATGTCGAGATTTTGGATCTGGTCACCAAGTTGTTCGCTTCACTATACCATTGGCAGTGGACTTGTGTACGTACTTAATTGCGGATTTAACGTGAAAGATTTTGGTTGATATAGTCAGATCTTATATTTAAGATCGTCTTGAGTGCGCTTTCAGATGCTTTGTAACCAAGCTGTGTTCAGGAAACGCAACAGTTGTAAGAGTGAGCGCTTACTGTTATTAAAATGTTCTTTTAGATCTACCACTGATCTAAAAGAACTTATCTTGATAGAGGAGAATAATTACTCGATTACGGCTGCACGACTATTCTGTTTTCTAAGTAGCGGTTACGCAACTTCGAGCGGAATTTTCCACTTTTCGCTCATACCGATTTCACATTAACGTTTTCACGAATTACAAAGCGATTACTTAGTTGGATGTGTGGAAAGTGAAATTACTAAACTCAAAGATTTTTACTAGATTTCCATCTTTTCGTCATCATCTTTCAAAGCGAAAAAGTTCATGTGAAAAGTTCCACATTTTCACAGTTCGAAGAGTTACATGATCGCTACAATCGTCAAGTTCACATGAATCTCTTCATATTTCCATCCTAAGGAAAAATTATATAATCGCTGCTTAGAACCCATCTAATTAAACAACCCATACGATACCTGAAGGTTTAGAAAAATTTAGGTGACCTTAAACATAAGATCTGATTACGAATGTCGCCCAACATCTTTTTCTTCTACGTACACATATGCTTTCTTCATGCTACTTTCAGATTTGTTCATTTCAGCCGAACTAGATCGCGCTTTTCGCCTTTACAGTGAAACAAGCCTATAATTTAGCCACTGAAAGAGAAAGGAACGAACGTCCCAGTGTAGCACTAGTTCATCTAAAACGAACAGATCTGCCGATGCCAATTTCAGCGTGCGAATTTGAATTTTAAAACAGCGTGACCGCGCGTCACTCTTTGTTCCTCCTTTTTATTGACTCAAGCACACCTTGCAGAAGTGGGAGCGAACAAGGCGACGCGGCCACGAAAGCGGCTCGGCGGGGGCAGCTACGGCCACTTCAAGAACCTGAACGACCCGGCCGCCGCGAAACAGCTGTGCGCCGCAAGACTTATCGGCAGGTGGGCAAGCGGCAATTCAGCAGATAACCGTGTCGTTCGCGCGCACCTTACGCGCGTGGGTCGCGGGCGGCTGCGTCGTCGCGGCGCACGGACGCGTCCCCCGGGCACTCCCGGGGAGTCGAGATATGCCGGCACATTTTGCCACACTTGTACTGTTCCCGTTTACGGTTGCGGGGCGGAAATACATGTCAGTGCCGTTGGAGAAGCCTTGGTTCTTGACGCCACTCGCCACTTCCCGCGCTCTTCAGTCGCCCCGCCTTCAATTGTCCTTCCTCCGTTCTCCATAAGCATTTCCGCCCCGCCACATCCCTCAGCCTGCATCCACCTGATGCATCGTGAGCTCACCTGCGACGAGCCGTGTTTCCACAGGAACACGGGGATTCAGGTATCGCCGTTCGAGCGCAAGAGCAAGTTTCAATACGAGTTTACTGTAGATAGATACGATCGTATACAGAGAGAGGAAGGGGGGGGGGGAATGTCGGTTATCATTTTGCAGCGGCATCGGCGCGCGTGCCGCGACCGAGAAAGATCCTGGCGTGAGACGGCCGGAGGATCACGCGCGCAGAGAGACGATCGGAAACAGAGCGAGAAGGGAAGGTAGGAGGGAAGGAAGGACGCTGTCGGCGGGAAAAGGCACGACGATGAAATAATTTATTAACACGAGCGCGCGACACCCACACGGTATTCACGGCTGATGCCATGTATGGACGCGTGACGTCAACCTTACTTCGCGTTCACCGGCGTGAATGCGTGAGTGCGTGCATGCGCGCGCTTGCTCACGCATGCACACGTAGGCGCTGGACAGGGCATAGAAGGTAAAGTCCGTGGGAGCACGCTAATGAGAGGCGGCGTGTCGGAGTCGACATGCCGTCGATGCGGCCGATCGATAATCTCGCGCCTCGAATTCGATCCGAACCCTCCTGCCGTCGGCTCGATCCGTCGAGGACGAGATTCATAGAATCTCACAGGCGATCGGCCGGCCGGGATCTAAGAATAGACGAGCCTTGTAGTCTGGAAGCCGTCGCGCTCATGTAACCCCGTTTGATCCGTCGTTCTCGTTTCTGGAACATTGGATATAATTGGATCCCGCCCGCCGCGAGGGGGTGAAGCCCGAATCTCACGATTGATGTATGCATCTCGCGCGAGATCCGCCTCGCGAGATTATTCGCTCTCTTCCGCCACTCCCGGCTCTCAGCCGATCTTCAATCGGCCGAGGCTCGTCGCCCCTGGCCGTTCGCCTTCGACGAACTTTTCAAGATTTTTCTTTACCCGGGAATGGCCGCCCGGGGTCATCTAGACTCAAATTAAAAGTCGCTATTATTAACAAAATACAGCATATTATCGATTGCTCTCTGATTTATTATTGTTTAGGGACATTGTAAGTATAGGTTTACTCGCTACTTTTTGAAAAGAAAAGAAATGAGAAACCAAAGAAATATTTAAGGATTGGAATAAGCATAACAAGTGTTCGCGATCGTTTGCGTAAAAAGAAGTAAAATTATTATTCTCGGGTTAAGAGTTAAGGGCAGAAAGGCTGACTAGTTTAATTTCAAGACACAATGTTCTATGCCCTAAACTTTGGTCTCGATCAATTTTTTCATCTTTTCTTATTATACAGAAATCTGCCATCAGTCACAAACAGAATGGATTTTTAATTTGACTCTAAAAACATAAGTCATTGCGTGTTACTTAAGACAAAGATTTCAAGGATAAGGCTGGATCAAAAAAAGATCCGTAAGCTTTAGTTTGGGACTTCTCGCATTTCCACCCCAGGCAAAAATTACGTAATCTCCGCCCTGGTAACACACTTAACTATCAGCAATTTTAAAGAGCCGTCTACAAGAACCATAAGGTATGCAGTAAGACATAAGCAGTAAGAGCTAATTGACCAATTGAGTTTTTACAGTCCAAGGATAATCGACTGTGGTTGGTCAATTAGCTCGCTGTTTACGTCTTGCCGCATACTTCACTATCTATCGTAGACGGCCCTTAAATCGTCGATTCGATTAATCAGAAATCGGTGAAAGTCACTCTGATCCCCGCGAACTCTGTCGTCGGTGATCCTCAGCGCTTTTCCTCAGCGGCGGAAACAGCTTCGAGAGCGAGAAAGAGTTTCACCGTGTTTCGTGGCTCGAAAAATTACACGATCGCTTAAGATCGCGGAGTTCACGTGAAACTTTTTCGCGTTTCCGCTCTCTCGCGGAAAAGTTACATGATCATTACCCTGTCCAGTTAGACACCGGCGCGGCCTTGCGCCAACAACCGCGCGTGTAGCGAAACGGCGTTCCTCCTCGGGGAGAAAAGGAACGGAAGAAAGAACGACGGAGGAGAAACGACGTCTAAAAACGACGGCTAAAGCATCACGCGAATTCCTCACGCGCGTGTATCGTTAAAATACGCAGCGCGCTGATTTTACCTTGTACGTTCACGCCTTGGGCATATATATCCCGACGTGGTCGGCCGGCGCGTATTGAAAGCGGCCTAGGCAAGGAATTATTAATTATGCATTCTAAGGCACGCCGCTACGAGAGATCGTAACGATGTTGCTTGCGCACCGGTTGATGTAATATGCACGCCGATCTCTCGTTGGGAGAGGCTGCTTGCGCATTAGCCGCGCAGGATGTATTCTAAACGGGCCCGTTTTGGTTTCTCTCACTGCTGTGCACGCGCCAACAGCGACATGCGTTCTTTTCTCTCTCTCTCTCTCTCTCTCATTTTCTTCTCTTTTTTCCCCCCCACACACAAAACAGTTATACGACCCTCGCCGAGGGCCGAAAGCAGCCCCAAGCAGAAGAAAAAGTCATTATTGTGATTTTCTGTTCTGCTTGGGACGGTCTCCTCCGGCAGTGAATCCGCGGTTTATTTATCGACGCCCGCGAAATTGCATAAAGCTAATTTTTCTTCTTACCCCCCCCCCCCTCCTTTCTCTCTCTCTCTCTTTCTGGAAACGCGTTGCAGAGAAAGAGAGAGAGAGAGAGAGAGAGAGAGACAGCGCGAGCGCACGGAGCTCGCGATGTGCGCGCAAGCGCGGCTCGCGCGATTCGCAGCCAAGATTAAAAATTGAAATTCGAAACGCGCGTGGAAGATCGCCGGGGAAGATATTTGGAAGCAGAGCCCTTCGTCCGGTGCTTCGCAGCGGCGATGTTCCTTCGCGTGATTCTTTCCTCGTTTTTCGCGAGGGGGCGTCAACTCGAACGCGTACAATCCCCGATCATCGTCTCCGTCATTTCGTGCGGCGATTGACTCGAATCCGTGCACGGAAAGAAATTAGTTTTAAATCAATTACAAATATTCTCACATGTAAGCAAGAATATTATAATCATCTTAGAAGACTTTTAGTCTTGATTTAATTGAATTTGTACTGATGCGAATAACCCCGGTAGAACAGAAAATGCCGTCAAAATAACAAGGAAATAATCGAAAAATCACAAACAGCACAATACCCAAAGTCGGGACATAAGCCGTCTTTGAGACATCTATAAGGCATCTTACATTGGCGTTATATTGGTTCAACATTGGTCAATGTAACGTCAATGAAGTGTACTATTAAGGTGTTTTGACTAAGTTATTTTAACATCATTGTCACTTTCTGTTCTATTGAGCATTGCAGTCAATTCGAGACTAAAAATCTTCTAAAAATAATCTAATATTCTTGCTTATACATGAGAATACCTATCCTTGATTAAAATTATTATTTTCCGTGTAAAGTCAAAATGAGAAAAAGTGAAAGAGAAACAAATTAATTCGCCCCGAGAGGCCGAGGGGAACGCGGGGGTACGATGGCCCATGCTCGCGGCCCTGAATTATCCAACTCTATGCGACGCGATGCCATGGAATATCGTATCTCTTTCTCTCTCTCTCTTTCTCGCTTATTCTCTTTTTCTCTCTCTCTCTCTCTCTCTCTTTTCCTCGCATTGCTAGCGCGCACGCAGAGCCGTATATGGTAGTGGGCGGTAGACGCACGTTGATAGAGAGAGAGCGAGACGGATGCTACGCGCGCGGCTAGTATACATGCGCGACTCGCTTCGGCCGTGGTCGGGCGAGCTCGGCTGGACTCGGCGGCGCGGCACGTACGTACTTGTCGGTGCAAGTCAGTAGAGCCGAGAGTCCCGCAGCGCGCGTACCTAAGTCATCAGGAACCTGCGAATCGCATTCCGCATTTGGAAACCGCACACGGAACGCGCGTGCGCGCCAGAGAGAGACAGACGCGCAACGCATAGCTACGTACGCCCGCACGCAGCTCTCTCTCGGTCTCTCCCTCTGCCGTTTCTCGTACCGGTCTTTCTTTCCCGTTTTCCCTCCTCCTTCCAATCTCCGTCGATCGTTCTATTTATCCGTGGCGACGCTCCGTCTCTCTCTCCCTTCCTCTTCCGTCCTCCTTCGGCCCCTCTCCTCCCTCATCTTCCCTCACCGCTGCGCGGCGCTTTTCGCGATCTACCGCGCGCGCGCGGGCGCGTTCGCCAGTGGGACGTTTCTAAAAACGTAATCATCAACTGTGAACTCGCGCGTGCTCGCTCTCTCTCTCGACGAGAGCGATCGTCAGGATTCTGGGAAGCGACGTAGCAGCAGCATTCGTCGGAAGCGACGAGGAAGATCGACCGTAGAAGAGAAGAAGACCAAGACGTCGTCGGGGACTAGTGGCCGGAGAGAGAGAGAGAGAGAGAAAGAAGGATCTCCGCGCGCGTGCGCGCGTTCTCGCTCGCGCCGACGTGCGACGTACAGCTCGGCAACGAGAGGAGAAAACGAAACGCGCAGCCCGGCTGCGTCGCTGCAAAAAAGGAACGAAACCGTGTGCGCGACAGGCGACGAGGCGACTTTACGACTCTCCCGTAAGGAGTGTCGCTCGCCCTCGCGCGTTCTCTCTCTCTCTCTCTCTCCCTCCTTACTTTCCTTTCCCCGCGACACTCACTCCCGCCCCCACCCGCGCGACTCCTCGCGAGAGTCTTTCCTCACTCTGCCCCCCGCTGCCTCCCTCGAACGCCCCCCTCCCACTCGGAGCCGTGTCGCCGTCCCCTTCGCCGCGTTCGGCTCGTTTCTTTTAACGCTCCTTCGTTAGTACGTCTCGACCGTCCGCGCTCGTGTGCTCTCCCGCGATCGAGGAGAGAACCGACCTCCGTCGTCGTCCGTCCATACCGCGCGACGTTCGTGGACTCGTGCGCGCTCTCTCTCTTTCCAAATTCTCGTTATTTCTCGTTACTTCTCTCTCGCTCGGTATCCCTTTCTTTCTCTCTCTCTCCTCCGCTCTCGCACGCCTGTGTATCATTGCGTGCCGCGCGCGTCCAACACGCGCCAACATTCGCCATTGAAGCCACCGAGTACAATTTGCGATGTGTGATAATACTAACACGACGACGCAGAGTATAGCGGACTACCTGTCACAGTTGCTGAAGGATCGGAAGCAACTAGCGGCCTTCCCCAATGTCTTCATACACGTGGAGCGCCTGCTGGATGAGGGTGAGTCGACTTTCCCCTCCCGGCCTTTTTTTCTCTCCCCCTCTCGAGTCTCTCTTTCTCTCTCGGTCTCGAAATCTCTGGTCCTTTATTTTCCGCGTTATCGGAATCCTCGATCCTCCAGCGGCCGTGTCACGTGCGCGCGCACGCTCCGAGAGATCGTCGATCTCAGCCCCGAGGCTCTCGGGCGCGCTCGGCGTTTCTGAAATATATGCGGCTACTGCGTGCATAATATTGCGATAGTGCGACCGAAAGGAAGAAAGAGAGAGAGAGAGAAGGACGGAGAAGTATCTTTCGGGCCTCGCCATTTTGTGAAGCGACGCCGAAAGTGCGCTCTCTCGCGTTCGGGGAATCCGAATCGCGCGAGAACGCGCGCGCCGAGTCGGAGCGAGTTGCGCGCCGTCAAACACGCGAGAGGAACTCGATCGCGCCATTTTGTGCAAAGACGCGTGCTCTCCGCGCTCTCCGAGAATATCAATCTCCCGCATCGTGACGTAACTCGTGCGCCTCGCGCTGGCTCGCGTTCGTTTTTCTGTCTCCGCTTTCTTCGAGATCTCGTCACCGTCTCGGAATATCACGCGGCCATCGGGTCGTTTAACGCTATCAGCGAATTCTTCGCGTGGCTGCGCCGGGAATGAAGCGTATACAAGGTGTCTCGGAAAGAGGGACGATCTAGTTTTCAGTGTCCCGCCGATCGGAATTCGCGCGCACTATGCGTCCACCTGCTCGTCTTCTTCCCCTACTCGGCCTTGAATTCCGCGGTTATCACGCAGCGAACGTTATCCGCGATTCTGTGCGTTTACACACGTGCTTTTGGTAACGCTCCGACTGTTCCGACATCCGAAAGGACGTTCGCACCGCAAGCAGGGTCGTATCGACTCTGTGCGATTTTTTAGATTTCTTATTTGAAAAAACTGAAAAGCAAGAGATTGACGAAGTTTTCTAGAGTGAAGTATAAGTGAGCAAAAGTGATATTTTTGTCAGATTCGTATGGAGTAACTGAGACCATTTGAACAAAAAGTAACACTTAGGTTTTTCATTTTCCGGTTAACTTGTGCTTTAGACTTGAACTGATGATAATTCAAAAGTTGCGCTTTTTTAATACAAAATTCTAGAATAAGGTGTAACTTTTTTATTTTAATGATTGATCATGCATTTGTAGAAAATCAAGTTTTAAGTTACCGAAAAACATTCGAATTTGGCCAATAGTCTCGCCAATGGTGGTGTTTTACTTTAAAAAATTGTAATTTACTTTTCATCGCTTTAACGCGACTATAGAGCGATAAAGTTGAAAGATAGTTCTAAGAGAAACAAATTTGATTATAGTGCTTACTCGATGAACGTATTTTTTTTCGATCGCTGAAAGAAGATATTTTGATGTGTCGAAAATGGGTATTTTTGCGGAAGAAAAAATATTTTTGTTGCGAAAGTATCAAAACTAGTTTATTTTCCGTTTGCAAAGTGGTAACATTACTTAAGAAATTAATAAATTATTTAGCATCCCGCCTCGTAACACGCGCTGATTTAACACTATTTACTTATTATTTTCAAAAAAAAGTACGCGTAATCACAATGTTACATTCATACACAAATGTTCAGCAAAAAAGATCACTTCACTTCGTGGCGTCGAATCATCACACACCGACTGTACACAATCGGTCTAAACTGATCCTGCATCAACACGAATAGCTAAACACGCTTTAATCGACCTCATCTCAGATCCGTACCAGGTCTAACAGACTTTTCTTCAACGATCTTTCGGAAGTGTGGAGAACTCACAGATCACGTAGTTCTCTTCGCTGTAGCTCTTCCAACGCAACTCTACCGGATCTATTAAACCCGTAATTCGGTCGAAGAGTTAATCTAATCGCAAAGGGGGGGGGGGGGAATCCTTTCTCTAAGATATCACGGTTGGAAACGTGGAAAATGAACATCGTCGGCGAAAATGCAAAGAGGATCGAGCAGACCGGCGCCGCCGTTATCGCCGCAAGAGTTATTATCGGCAGTCGCATGCGACCGTTCGAAAATTAACGGAAGACGCGAAACACCGCGATGAAGCGCAATAAATATTAAGAAAAAAAAGATTCTTTTCACAAAAACAAATATAAACAGTTGTAATAATTCCGCGCGAAAATTCTCGAGGCCTTGCTGCGCGGCTAATTGAGAATTCAGCCTGTCGGCTGACAGTTCTCCCCCTCCCCCCGCTGATAAAAACGCGTGCGTGTTCCCTGCCGTCGCGATTATCGCTGAACGATGTGACCGTTGCGAGCGATCGCCCGATTCAGCCGGGTTTTACGGTGCACGTGCCGCGAAAGCGATACGCCAAGGTGAGTGAGATATACGGCCCGTTAAGCCGCGCGTTATTGGCCGGGAGAATCGCTAATTGCTGATTAGAGGTCGACGAATCCGGCGGCCTCGAGTCCGCCACCCGCTCTTTGCCGATTGGTCGATCCGCGATCTTCGATCCTCATCGCGTGCGATAACAGGCTTTATCGCAAAAGAACGTCGTTGTCTTCGGGAACTCCACCCACCTTATCCCCCCCAGTAATTACATGTAGGACACCCTTTATGCAGAGATATGTTTGTCTCTTCTCTCGTGTCTCTGCGGGGCTTATCGCGATGCGTCCCTGCCATGTGGCCGATGCGATACGCACGTGAAAAGAGAACAGGTGTAACTCGAAATTCCCACTGCGTTATCGATGGTGACTGATGGACCAATTAATGACTCGCAATTAAGTTACGTAATTAAAACGCAATAAAGTTCGTATTTTTCTATGGATTTCTTGAGTTTCTTTCCGCGGACGAATAAAAAATATTTGAAAAAAGCGTCTTTTATTAACTATATAATTTAATCAACAACTGAGAGTGTAAGACACACAGTGTCGAATAGTCGTGAATATCATTCTCGTGGCTTGCAAAAATACTTAAAAAGAAGACGGCATTTGTTCGGCGAAAATTTCTATTAGTCGGCGACGGCGAATCCGCGTTTCAGCCGGCGGCGACACAAAAAAATCACTATCGCGCGTCTCCGCGAGATACGCGAGGGAAAGCAAGGCGAATCGCGTAAATACGCCAGTGCGTGAAGCATCGGTCTGTTTTCAGCCGGTGATGCCGCGTCGCGAGGAAGCGTCGTTCGGGAACGCCGCGAGGAGATGGCCAAGCGATTTAATGGTGTGTTACCGTGCATCGTGTGCGGGAATATCACCGTGTCAGATGCACACACGGGTGTGTTGCGGTAGGTAAACGCATGTCTTGACATTTATGACAGACGTGTTTGCGACGACGACAACGGAGACGCGACGGCGCGAGTATAAACGCAGGAGAATTTCATCGGGACGCCGCGTGCTCGCGCTCACGGTGGAATCCGACGAGTCAGGACGCGCTTCGGGAATAACGCGTGCCGATAAACACTCAAATTCCTCGATGATTTGCCGCTAATGAGAAAATAATATTCATTTATTTAATAATGATACATATTATGATAACATTGAAGTGAGAATTGAAGTCACGATAAATAATGATCTCGACATTTTCGTTTAGGAAAAAGTTACTTCTTCTGATATCAAGAATCTCCTTGTACACTCCGCATGCGGATATCCTGTATAAGCAGGAATATGTAATTTTGCGTGGCGATAAAACTTGCTTACATGATGAAATACTATATAATTCCGCTGAAAATATCATATTCTTGCTAAGAACGCTTCTTGCGAGATTAATTTACATCAATTGAGAGAAAATAATATTAAATTATTGAAAAGAACGATATCTTCAGACTAGGATAGAATTCCTGGCTTGAAGATATCATTCTTTTTAGCCAATACTTTTCCTCTCAATTCATGAAAATCATTCTTAAATAACAAGAATGTGATATCTTTAATGAAACCATATAGACTTTCTTCATAGAAGATTATATATTCTTGCTTACGCACGACAATACGGCTCTTGAGTTAATAATAACTTTTTTCCGTGCACACGCAATAGAACGTGGCCAATAATGAGAGTGAGACAACGGTATCATGACTGTTCTTAATTTATCCCACGAATAAATAAAACAATACTCGATTCGGCCTCGCGCGACCGGCGGCGCGGAAAGAGAGACGAAGCGTGTTCGCGCGCGAAAGTTTATTTATTATTTGTACGCACGAGTTCGCATATCACGGCTGTGGCCCACTTGTTGTCGCGCCGTCGCAATCGTCGTCGTTGTTATTGTCGTCATTGCCGTGTCGTAGATCGTCGTTTCGTCAACCGACGAAGACGCGGGCTCGAAATCGGTAGTGATAATGCGGACTCGCGAGCGAGCCTGAATTGCGCCAAGTACGCAGAAAAGACGCTGACCTCTCTCTGTATAAGCGCCGCAGAACCGCTTCTCGTGGGCACTCTCTCGGTGTATGCCCCTTTCCCTCCCTCTCTTTCCCCCCCTCCGCGCCCCCTCGTCGGCCGACTCGATATACCGCTCACTAGATCTTCGACCCGTTCTCGAAGTCCGGAGAATAGATCCACGGCGCGTAAACGCTCGACTCGCCGCGACTAATCGGCTCGTTGCTCTCTTTCTCTCTCTTTCTCACTTGCCCGTCTTCTCTACCTCCTTTTTTCCCCCCATTTATTTATTTACTCGTTTATATTCACCGATTTTTTTTAGATCCTGCTCGTTTCTCACTTGCCCGCGCGCCGTCGCTCGCGTGACGACGGAACATGTCCGCGTGAACCGGTGATTATCGATTGCTATTATTCGACGAAACCGTGCCGCGCTTTGCGGAGACGCGCACACCGCCCGTAATTGCGTGGTATTTTATGACTCCCTCCCTCCCCCCTTTCTCCCGGCGTGTCGCAGCTTTACGTAATACGCAAGGTAAGATCGCTGTCATTATATACTCCGGGGTGGTCTCTCTCTCAGCCGAGGAAGCCACGGAAACAGGGAAAGCGCCGACCTGCGCGCGTTCCGCCGATTTTTGACGGCGCGTCTTCGTTTTATCGAAAGAACTCGCGCGAAGTACCGTTCGTTC